TGTATCTGTCCAATTTTCCCAACACTATTTATTGAAGAGACTATCTTGACTCCATTGTATGTTCTTGCCTCCTTTGTCAAATATTAATTGAGCATATTGGTTCGGGCCGATTTCTGGGCAACAAGGGCTTCTTTAATAATCAATTTCTATTTTTAAATAAATAAATAAATTTTAAAATTGAATTTATTGGGGTGACATTGGTTAATAAAATTATACAGGTTTCAAGTGTACAATTCTACAATATATCGTCTGCATATTGTATGGTGTGTTTACCACTCCAAGTCAATAAATTTCTAGAAATGGCACCTCTATCTAGAACCCATCTTCCTTGAATCCCAAAATACTGTTCTTCCTGCTATAGCTCTGCTCTTCAAGTCATGCTGCAAATCTATTATGGGGTAATTATTTAAAACCTTTAAAATGTTTTACTCCTGACGTATGTGCAGTTGGCATTTATGTCTTAGGAGGTGATGGTTTGCTTTCGGCTTGTGTCTTGATCTTACGATAGAAACCAACCAGAGCCGTGTGTTACCTCTACCTGGCAACCTCTAGGAGACATGGGAGGGAAGAGGAAACACAGCTTTTATGGTTCTTTTGCTAAACCATAAGGCCCAAATATTCACTAACATAATGAGGACTTAACATGTATATAGTATAAATTGTTAAATATTTAAAATTCATACAATTTTCTTTTTTTTCTCATAATTACACTATGTTTCTCTAACTAGTGGCCTGGTGGATAGTTTTTAAGGAGCAAGGGAAGAGCAATAAGAGAAAAAGACGATTTATTTTAAGCAGTTGTTAATATAATTTACACTTCTAAAACATTAAAAATAATTGTATTAATCTTTTGGTTATTCCTCCTGCAATTTATCATGATTACACTATGAATTTACTCCAGGGACCAAGGATTTTACTGAGTAAAAATAATTTTTGTTAAAGCTACTTGATAATTAAGTGGCATCAAAATGAGTCAGACTTTATTATAGAATAAATATAATTTCTATTTTACCCCAAATTGTGGGTATCTTTTCAGGTTGATGCTTGTAATGAAGCTCATGAATTAAAGGAGAAACTCGTTGCAAAAATAGAGGTAAGATTTCACTGTTACATGAGTTCAAATAATGGTAAGATAAAATGAATCAAATATAAGTACAGAGGCAATCCTTTCCCTAGAAGTGGAGAATGTACCGCATACTGATCTCTCTCTACCCTTATTGCTGTCCTCTTCCCCTCCTAGCCTTCTGCTGTGGGCCAACAGAACATCTCGCACCCCTGGGCTGCTTCCACATCTCCTCCATCTGGATCTTACCCTCTATGTATATATATTACCCATTCTTCAAGGCTCAGATCACATATCATCTCTTTTAGACCTTCCTTAATCTTCCTTACCCAGAAAAATGACTCAATATTGAACTCCTCCCACAAGATCTTATACAGTGAGGTAAGTGCGAATGAATGGGTGAATGAAACAATGAATAAATGAACCAACCTGTCACCTGCTTAGAGGCACCTGATGACCCCACTTTCTAGAGTAGATGCCCACCACCAAGACTTAACTACTCTGTCTCATCACCTTGTTTATTTTGTCTTTGGCATGTATCTTAATCTATAACGTCCAATGTGTATATGTGTTTAGCATGTAATTCTTTGTCTAATTTGCTTTAAAAAGCCTCAATGCAATACAATGCACATTCCTTGTCTATTTTGTTAGCTACTGCATCGTAAAACAGTGCCTGGTAGGAATCACTAAAAAAATGTGTCCTCCATAGATGAACAAATTGGATAGATAAATTCAGTACAAGGATAATTATCTTTCTACATGAATAGTCCAGCAAAGATCAACATGTGGGTTTTGTTTAATTTTTATACCCATGGTGCTAACTTACTCTGTGATCGTGTCTCTTTCTAATAGGTGAGAATGTCTGCCAATGACCTCCTCAAGTGATTCAATGTGGGCCCCTGAGGTGTTCTGGGGGAAAAGCACTCTGCATCATCTACAATAAGACAGGCAGATACCTAGAATCATTTTTAAAAAAATATTTTTATTGATTTCAGAGAGGACGGGAGAGGGAAAGAGAGATAGAAACATCAATGATGAGAGAGAATCATTTATTGGTCCACACTGAAGATCGACCCGCAACCCGGGCATGTGCCCTGACCGGAATCAAACAGTGACTTCCTGGTTCATAGGTTGATGCTCAGCCACTGAGCCACACTGGCCAAGCTAGAATCATTTTTTAAAAAATGATAGTTGATTGTTCTTCTTTCCAGAACTTCTGCAAGGATATGACTGTGATGAATAAAAGACTTGGGATGTACCCAATGAGAGAAGAGCACACAGACTCTCGGAGTCCTGAAGACACGGGTAGGGAAGAAATGGAGCGTCTGCTTCTTCAGGTTCCCCCGACCCCTCCAGAGCAGAACTTCCCTCCTCGCAGTACCTTGTGGTGAGTCAGAGAAAGGAGCTGTGGGGGCTGGACAGGCCCTCGTGTGTATGAACAATAGTAAGATTAAGCTTCAAGTGTTAATTAAGTGTTGTTTCATCTCCTTTTATAAATTATTTCTGTACTTTAAAAGTCATAGTATTTTGATTTTTAGATATAGATCAATTGCATTAGATACACACACACACATATATACATATACATATATATTTCTTATTGCTTTAGATAACTATATGTATAAAATCTTAAAGGATGGTGTCTGCAGAGTGTGATGCAGCCACCTCCACCAAAGAAGCACACCTGCTAAGCAGATTTGAAAACCTCTGCTTGCTGAACAGGATGCCTCTCCCATGTACAGTATTGAAGACATACATAATGGCAAATTCTGACTCTTTGAACTTCTTTCTAGAGGTGCCACACCATCACATATACCCTGAGCATATATACTTTTTAAAAATATATATGATGAACGTCTTTTATATTTCAAGTCCCCAAATGATCAAGATTTCTGCCTTTAGTAGCCCATGGAGTATCAGGAGACAGATTTAAAATAATTTAATTGCAATAATATGCAGTGGGCCCTATGTCAGGATTACATGCAAGGTACAGTGCACACAAAAGAGGGAGCTGAAGATTCTTCTGGTTTAGTGGTTGGGGATAAAGAATCAGAAGTAGAGCCTGGCCAGTGTGGTTCAATGGTTGAGCATCGACCTAAGAACCAAGAAGTCATGGTTCAATTCCCAGTCAGGGCACATGCCCGGGTTTCAGGCTCTATCTTCAGTGTGGGGCATGCAGGAGGCAGCTGATTGGTGATTCTCTCTCATCATTGATGTTTCTATCTTTCTGTCTCTCTCCCTTCCTCTCTGAAATCAATAAAAATATTTTTTTAAAAGATGTTCATCATGTTCAACAAAAATTAGTTAAGTGAGGAGTAATGTCAATGCAAATGGTGGAATAAAGACCCCCCAAATTTCCTCCTCTATAAAGTCAACAAGAGAGCTGGAAAAAAATGGTCAGAACAATTTTTTTTCAGAAACCTGTAAATTAAGGATCCAAGTATCCAGAATATATAAAGAACTCTTACAATCCAAAAACAAAAAGACAAACAACCCAATATTCTAAATGAACAAAGGAGTTGAATAGGCATTTCTTCAAAGAAGATACACAAATGGCCAACAAACACATAAAAAGATGTTCAACATCATTGGTCATTTGGGAAATGCAAATAAAAATCACAAGACACCTCTTTACTACACCACTAAGTTAAGTATAGTTAAAGAGACAGACAATAACAAGCATGTGGAGAATTAAAAACCCTTAGGTATTACTAGTGGGATTGTAAAAGGGTGCAGTCACTTTGGAAACAACTTGGCAGTTCCTAAAAATGTTAATGGAGCTACCATATGACCCACTCCTAGGTATGCACCCAAAAGAACTGAATATATATGCTCACAAAACACCTGTACATGAATGCTCACAGCAGCATTTTCATAATAGTTAACAAGTAGAAACAATACAAATATTCAGTAATCAATGAATAGGTAAATAAAATGTGGGATTTTTCAGCCACAAAAGAGAATAAACTACGATATATGCTATAATATAGATGACCCTTGAAAATGTTATGCTAAGTGAAAGAAGTCAGACACAAAAGGACACACACTATATGAATCTATTCATATGAAATGTTCAAAATAGAAAAATCCATATAAATAGAACATAGATTAGTGGTTGGCAGGCCTGGGGGTAACGGGAAATAGAAAGCAACTGTTCATGGGTACAGGTTTTCTTTTTGGGGTGATAAAAACACCCTGAAATTACATAGTAGTGATGGTTGAACAAGCTTATGAAAAACTAAAAGCCATGGAATTGTTCTCTTTAATAAATGTGTGAAGCAATTATTTGTAGAACTACCAAGAGATAGCCAGTGGTGATAATGCCGAGAAACTTGACTCAGATTTACAGAATCCACTGAGTGAGGTCACGAAATAGACCCATCGTTAGCTTGAACTGCGCGCTAGAGTTTCTCCTCTGAAATGTATTACAGATGCGGATTACCTTCAGGTAACTGGCTAATCTGTGACATTTCTTTTCTTCTTGGTGTTTTTCTGGCTTTTCCAGATCTTCTACCCTAATCATGTATTGTATTTATAATTAGTAAATAATAATGCAAGGAGTGAAAAGCAAATAAATAAACCACATCATAGTTACAGCCCAGGAGGAGGAGTCCTCAGACTTGGAAAAGCTTCTATTACTTTGCAAGGGTAATTCTGATGCCAGGACAAAAATGGCGATAGAGAGGCCTGAATTCCATTTGTCACATTGTATTTTGTGTCCTGAGGAAAATCTAACTGCCCCGTGCCTTTATTTTCTCCCAAATAGGCATCATATAAACCTCATAAATGAGGTAAAGATGGCAATCATCTGTGAGAAGACCATTTCAGAGCAAAGAGCCCCACAATATGGAGGGTTTCATTGTTTCATGACTATGGAATGTTAGGATTCCAGAATCAGTCCTAAAATGAACTTAAGTGCTCAACTAGTTTGCAGATGTCAACTGAGGTCAAGAGAAGTTCAGTTACTTACTCGAAGTTACAGAGCTACCTGGGTGGAGGAGCCAGGAGTCCCGTCAGTGTGGTTTTCTTCAGAATGTTCTTAACACACGTTTTCTTTCCTTGTAGGAAACGTGCACTGAGGATTTTCATCACATTTTATGCCCTCACCTTCACTGTACTTTCATGTTACATATTATTTTTTGATGCCACGTTTATCTTTGAAAGCGTGCTCCCTACAATGCTTGGGCGCCGCAGAACGTGGGAACTACGGGAGATTATTGTGCCTTTCTTAAATTTGGAAGTGGAAGACTTGTTACCCTCCTAAAGATACAGAAGTTGCTGTTACACTACTGACTTTCTCCCCAATAAAATTCTGGCTGTTCTTGTGTTATGGTGGTTAACCTATTTTTTAAAAAATACTATAGCAGTGGTTCTCAGTCTTCAGGCCCTTTAAATACAGTTCCTCGTGTAATTGTTCAACCATAAAATTATTTTCGTTGCTACTTCATAACTGTAATGTTGCTACTGTTATTAATCATAATGTAAATATCTGATATGCAGGATGGTCTTAGGTGACCCCTGTGAAAGGGTCATTCGACCGCCAAAGTGGTCGCGACCCATAGGTTGAGAACCGCTGCTATAGGGTGTTTGGCAAAGGACATGGTAGTCATGTAGCAATTAGTTGATCACAGACAGAAAAAAAACAAAAGCAGTTTATCTCTACACTTAAACGAATAACGATTCCTCAAATCATTCCACACATTGATTAAAACATTTACTTCAAACCACTAACCTCTTTCATCCTCCAACAGTGAGGACACTGAGACTATCCAGTATTAGCTTCCTCGGTTATTTCACCCATTTGACCTCTGATGTCTCAGAAAAGAAAGCACAGAATTCCTCTCCATTGTTTCCCATTTTACTTAAATTGGGTTGGAGCCATACTTTGGGTGTATGGACATTATTTAGTTTTGCTCCCAAACATTCATTTATGGTTTTGGTAACAGCACCCTCATTTTGCTTTGAAAGAAGTATCTTTCCCCAGTGAACATAATTCTAGGTGGTCTTTCAGTCAATGTCCCCGTTGCCCTTTGAAGAAGAGTTGGAAATATGTTGAATCAGAAAATCTCTAAGAATGAGAATCTTGAGAATCATACAAAGAAGGGAAATGATTGGAACTTAAATTTGGTGAACTAGTCCATATCTTTTTCTGCTTAAGCTAGCCAGAGTTGGTTTTGTTGCTTATAATCAAAGGAAGTCTAATTGATGCAGTAGTTTTGAATGTAAGACTGGAGCATTTTTAGCCCTAACTTTGTAGGTAATGAGGACATAGTAACCTTTATTTTCAATATGAAAAATAGTTACAATTGAACTGTGCAAGATTAATAGAACCATAAAAAATAAATTGTGGTAGGAGGGCAGATGGAGATGAAAGATCAGTTAAATGGCCATTCAGTGATCCAGATGAGCTAAAGGGGTGGGAATGGGGATGAAAAGGAGATGATGGGTGAAGAATATCTAAGGGTAGATTTTCTATTTGCTTGTGTAATGGATGTGAGGGTGGACGAGTGGTGACAGGGAAATTATGGAACACCGTTCCAATTCTCACATTTGAATAGATCTTGAAGGATGGATAATAATTTTATGGCAGAGAGGAGGAAAAGGCATTTCAGAGAAAAGACACATCATGAATAAAACAGAAGCCATGAATATAAGGCAGTCAAGAAAGTTGGTGGAGCATATTGCTCAATATGCCACTTTGTACATCCCTTAAAAACAAACACTGTGCCCCATTCATTTTTTGGTCTCTGGTATAAGGGATTCCTAAATAGTGGTCCTTTGATTACATGCATCAGAATCACTTGGGGAGCTTTATACATTAAGGATTTCTGATTCCAATCCCAGATATTTAGATCCAATAGCGCTAGTATGAGGTCCATGAATTTTATTTTTAAAAAAGTCTCCCCATCTGAATCTAATACAAATGCAAATTTTGTCACAACGTCTTAGTACATTTTAGGACAACGCAATGCACATAACAGGTACTCAAGAAATACCTGTTGAAGTAAATTAAATTATGTGTTCTTATCTTTGTGAGATAAGAACATCATCACCTCATCCAGTGCTCATTCAATATTTGTTCAATAATTCCCATCATAGCCATTTTTCCAGTGCCATCTTCTCACTCCCTTGAAGTAATCTTCAACTCCTTTATGATCTTTTTATTTTAACCTTCCAGAAATAATCAGGACTTTCCAATTCTTCCACAACAATTATTCCCATATCAGCCATTATTCTTTGTATTTATAATCTTTCTATTCTGATAGGCCTTATCATACAAATGTCTTACTGCTTGGGAAAGCCACCCTATTGTTTCAACTTTCCTAGACTTCTATCCTATATAATAAAAGTGTAATATGCAAATCAACTGAACAGAGAAACAACTGGTCTCTATGATGTACACTGACCACCAGGGGGCAGACGCTCAATGCAGGAGCTGCCCCTGGTGGTCAGTGTGCTTCCACAGGGGGAGTGCTGCTCAGCCAAAAGCCAGGCTCACACTGGCGAGTGCCGCTGTGGTGGCGGGAGCCTCTCCCGCCTCCACTGCAGGCGGGTGGTAAGGTACCAGGGGTCCCAGACTGTGAGAGCCCCAGACTGTGAGAGGGATGTCTGACTGCCGGCTTAGGCCCGATCCCCGGGGGCACCTGTGAGGGGTCCCAGACTGTGAGAGGGCACAGGCCGGGCTGAGGGACTCCTCTCCCAGTTCACGAATTTTGTTCACCGGGCCTCTAGTTATATATACAATTGTAGAAAAGAGTCAGTGCCAAATGCCACTTGTAGCCTGATCATCTACAGCCAGGAATCTATATCCGTTGCTAGAAATGTGAAGTTTCCTTGTGAGTGGTTCTCAAGCCGGGATGTTTAACAGAATTCCACAAAGAGACATTTAATTATAATTATACATTTGTCTGCACATCTCCTCCAGAAATTTGGACTCTTTAGATCAAGGATGAGTCTCTAATATCTTCTGTTTTAATAGTTTCCTCTGACAATGTTTAGGACTCAAAGTTTAAGAACCACTATGCAATGTAATGTGCAAAAGCTACCTGAGATTACAATTTGGCTGAGATCCCATACAAGGCTACCAAGAAGTGACTCACTTTGGAGGGGAGGAGGAGGCTGGGGGATGAGTGAGGGGATTTCCAGGACATACACAAAGGGAAAAGCCAGAGTTCTGGCAACAATGAGTAATATATTCAAAAAGTCTACTGGCAGTGAAAGGATATGCTGACAGACAGATTTTTTTTAAAGTCACAGCTAGACTTGTTTACAGGTAAAGGGACTATTCAGACCAAGTTTTAGACAGAGCTTGGTGTATTTTTTAAAATCATCTTCAGGTATTGCTGGATACAGTATTGGCTGATTTATTTGTAAAACCAAAAAAGAGCTATTGAGTTTAAATAGGTCAAATAAAGCTCAAAGTATTGCAATAATCATATAACACTAGGAAGTAAGGTAGGGAACCTGATTCTTTGAAAGAATACATTAATTGTTTAGTAAATTTCAAGACATATTTTATTAGGATTTTAATTAAGACAATAATTTCTCCTGGAGAATCAATATCCTTAAAGTGGGAGTGATACTATTTCGTATCAATTTATTTTCAATTTGTAGTTTCTTGGGCTGGAAAGCTGGATATCACAATGTCCTGCTCTATTCCAAGAGGGAAACATTTAATATTAAGTTGATATACGTGTCCACATGTGGTAATTCAGCTAACTACTTTGGTTGGTTGGGTCTTATTTCAGATCTCTTAAATGCCATATTCAATTGAGGCAATGGCTATATTCAACATCACTTACTAAAAATGTCAGAATCACTTTACAAATATGGTCTTGGTTTTAGACTAGGAGGAAAGAAAATGAGTGGTCACAAAAATCTCCATTTGTCATTTTTTTTGAGTGAAGACAGCTATGATGTAGTGAAAAGAGCTTTAAACTTGGATTCAAAGGTGAGTTGATCTGCTGCCAACTGTGCACTTAGTGGGGTCACCAATCTCCCCTCCCAACAGGGGAGCCATGCTCTCCTTCCCCAGCTGCCAATAGTGCTGACTGCTGAGAGTTCACAGCTAGATCTTCCCTTGGACCTGCTTCTCCTTCCCCAGCTGCCAATAGTGCTGAGAGTTCACAGCTAGATCTTCCCTTGGACCTGCTTTGGTTAAGGAGACCTGCTTCACCTAAGGTTCCTCTCCTTTCTCAATGGTAACCTGCATTCAATGACAGATCCAGGCCAGGGTACATTTCTAAAGGGCCATCCCAGACTCAGAGCTCCTCATAGGATTGGTTAAAGCCACTAGTGCAACTGTGTCCCAATTCAGCTTCTCCCTCTGCCTAGTCCTGTTCCCAACATCCCCTTCACAGGGGATGATCTCAAGAGTTTTCCCAATAAACTTACACTCAAGCCTTCAATTCAATGTCCATTTCCTGGGAAACTTGACCTACCATCCCTGTGGAAATAAATGAAAACTAACCAAATGAGAACAAGCAAAGGCTATTTATTCTGAGTTCACTGTAGCAAGGGAGTCAGCCACCATCACTGGTGACTTAACACAGATTCAAGGAAGGCAGAGAAGTGGGAAAGTTTTATAGCAGAAAAGGAGAGAGGCTTCCGGTATGCCCTGATTGGAGGCTGTTGGCATAGGAAAAATATAGGTGGACTAACTAGAAGCAGGAAATTCTATGTAATAGTTAGGGGAGGCATATTTGACTTTTTCTGGTTGGTCCTAGCTTGGAAGGGGGACAAAAATTAGGGAAGCTGTCAGTTATTGATCAAATTTTTGTTTACATGTATAAATTGAGGGAAATGTGCCTCAAGAGATAGTTGGATTAATAGGTTGGGTATTATTATTATTATCATTATTATTAATTACCATGGACAATATTTTTAACATGTGAAATCACCTAACTAAGAACTTTGGATCTAGCCTGATAGGAAAGAAATGAATTTGAATGTATTTCCTGATATACTATATCTTTGAAGTAAAAATCAGTGAACCATAAATTTTGATTCCTTTCTTTTTCATGTTCCACTCTGGTAGAAAACCCTGTGGGTTCTACCTTAAAACATATGCAGAATTCAACTACTTCTCACCACTCCCTGATACCAACTACTCTACAGGACACCATTATTACAAAAGTCTACCAATTCTCTCTTTGATTCTCCTTATTCCATCCTTGCCCACGTATAATTCAGCAATCAGAGTGATAGTGCTGTATTGTCAAATCACATTACCCTTCTACTCTAAAACCCTTCAATGGTTTCTCATTTCTTGTAGAGTAAAAGCCAAAGTCCTTACAATGGCTTTCAACTATATGTTTGGCCCTCACTTCCTTTGATCATATCACTCTGCTACACTGTCCACCTTGCTATTCCTGGAGCACATCAGGCACACTCTTACCTCAAGGGTTTTGTGCTGGCTGGCCCCTCTGCCTGGCAGTCTCTTCCCCTGCATATCCACATGGCTCACTCCCACAGTGCCTGCAAATCTTAGCTTAAATGTCATCTTCTTGGCTATAATAAGAAAGACAGATAATAACAAGTGTTGGTGAGGATGTGAAGAAATTGGAACCTTAATATAGTGCTGATGGTAATGTGAAATGATATAGCCATATGACCCAGTAATTCCACTGGTAGGTATATCTCCAAAGGAACTTCAAACATATGTCCACACAAAAACCTGTACATGAATGTTCATAGTAGCATTTCATAATAGCTAAAAGCAGAAATAATTCAAATATCCATCAAATGATGAATAGATACACAAAATATGGTATATCCATATAATGAAATACTGATGCATCTACAATGTAAATGATCCTTGAAAATATTATGCTAAATTAAAGAAGTCAGACACAAATGGGCACATATTGTATGAGTCCATTAATATGAAATGTCCAGAATAGGCAAATCCATAGAGACAAGATAAAATAGGTACTGTATTCCAGAATTTCACAGTGGTGATGGTAGCACAACTTTGTGAATATACTAAAAATCACTGAATTGCACACTTTAAAATGGTAAATGTTGTGGTATGTGAATTATGTCTCAATTTTTTAATGTCACCATCTTAATGAGAGCCATCTGAACATCATATATAAAATTGCAATCCTCCCGACCCATCCCCATCCCAACCTTACTAATTGCTCTCTCCATTCTATATTTTGCAATGACTTGTAATATAATATGTAATTTACCCATATTTAGTTTATTGTTTATCTGTTTCTGTCCATTAAAATGCAAGCTCCAGCCCTAACCTGTTTGACTCAGTGGATAGAGTGTCAGCCTGTGGACTGAAAGGTCCCAGGTTTGATTCCGGTCAAGGGCATGTACCTTGGTTGCGGGCACATCCCCAGTAGGAGGTGTGCAGGAGGCAGCTGATCAATGTTTCTCTCTCATTGATGTTTCTAACTCTCTATCCTTCTCTCTTCCTCTGTAAAAAATCAATAAAATATATTTTAAAAAAATAAAAGAAAAGATAAAATGCAAGCTCCACAAGAGGAAACACTAAAAACCAGGACTATATCCAGAGTACATTATATATATGTATATACAATCAGAAAATATGTCCATTTGAAAGTGGGGGTATTGACATCATAATTACTAGAAAAATTTTCTGATATTATTTTGCTCTGAATGCTAAAGACTGAAGAGGAAGAAGCTATATCCAGGGTGAAGAAAAGGGGTGGGTGATTACAAAGGAGGAAAAGGAGTGGATCTGTGAGAGGTTTGTACCTAAAAAAGGATTCAAGGAAGAGGAGAAAAATGTGTTCCATGTGTGGCAGGGGGTTTCCAAGTTCTGACTAAATTCATTCATATAGACTGTGTAACGACCTTAGGCTACAGAGGTGGGAACAATGTACAGGACTTACTGGGTCCCAAGGAAGCAAAACTAAATTCACTGGCTGGTGGAATGGAGCCTAGGGTTACACAGCTCGGTTTGAGACTGGATGAGATAGTATCTTTAAATTAAGAGCCCGAGGCCTACAATCCGAACCAGGGAAAGGTGGAAACTGCCCACAGGACATTTGCAATGGGGGATGGTGTGTGTAAAGGTGGGCAAGTGAGAGGGAGGATATCCCCTATGTCATTAGAGGGCCTGTTAGTAACGGAGGAGATTAGCTTCAATTTTGGCATAATTTCGTGAAATGTGAAACCATTTTGGTTTTAATTTTGGAATCTCTTCTTCTATATGGATTTTAGGAGATTCATTCATATTCAACGTCTCAGAATAGTTACTAACCAAGTAACACATGGTTTTTGTTTGAACTTGACTGCTTAGGATGATTGCTTTTATTCTATTTCTCCTCAATTTGGGAAACTGATTTTACTAATATAGACCAATCTCCAAATAATTTTGCTTAACAAATAAGACAAAGTGCATAATAATGTAGCAGTGTTTATCCAACTGCCAGTCCTCACTTCCCCTTATTACCGTGCAGGTGTCTACACCTGTCCTGTGTGACTCTGGATCAGATCCTAATTGTTCTAAAGCTATTAGAGTGGCCCAGAATCCCTTGCCAGTGATTGGTTCAGATGTAAACATGTGATTCAATTCTGACCAATGAGACCTGGAGGTATATCTCCTGGGGCAAGGATGGTTTCTGGGCAAAAGTTTCCTTTATATTAAAAAGAAACAGTAGGGAGAAAGATCCCTTTTTTTACTTTTGGATGTCACAGATTTGACGCTTGAAATTCCTTAGGTCATCTTGCAACCATGGAGGGACTGTACAATCTAGTTTGGGCTTGCAACCATTAGGAGAAGGCTGATAGATACCACGGAGAGATAGAAATAGCCTGGGTGCTCAATGGTATCAATGAACCACTGAATTAATCCAATCTGCACAGTCCTATTGCATACACCTTTCTCAATATGCAAGACTCTCAGATTCAGATCTGAGAAGGGAACCTAAGGAGGCGAGGGCAGAGGTGAATGAGATGATTACTTTTCAAAGTTTATTTTTCTTTAAAAAAATGATATATGTGATATATAAATTGAGTGATTTTTATTTTCCTTAATTAAGTGAATCCAGAGAATTAGTGGGTAACTGCCATCTTGAAAATAAATGGCAGCAAATAAAGGTTTTACTGGGTCTGTCACCAAGTACATAATTAAGTGTACTTGAGTGAAATTTGAGCCTAGGAGGAGGGTGAAGTTTTGTGTGTTTGAATGAAGGGAGTTCTTTTGGTGATTAAACTACTGCTTTACCAAATGCCGGTGTTTGTGTGGTTATTTTGCTTTCCAAAATAATAACAAGCAGTAGTGTCTATTGCGACACTGGTGTTTACCTAAGGAAAAGCACTTGACTAACAAGCAGCCTCATGCCTGGCCAAATGGCCTCCTGATTGTACTTGATGAGGTCCAGGCCTCCGGCCTTTTCAAAACAACACCAATGTGACATTCTGCCCACAGTTAACACTCCTATGTGTGGATACAGGCATCATTTGTTTCTCTTTTTCACATTTTCCTCCTCAAGATATGATCAGAGAGGCACAAAGGGGGAAAAGGAGAATCTGTCATAGCCTATCAAGCAACTGATAAGCCCCTGGCTTCGGGGGATTTTTTAAATGATACCAATCCCTTTGAAAAGTGAATGATGTTTTCTTTGCAGTTGGGAAAGTTGCTCTCTTACCTCTCAGATTGAGGTTATCTCTCCAGGTGGGAGAGTATGGCTGGTTTGAGGGGAGAATTGTTCTGGAGTTTCTGAGACTTTCACAGCCTCTGACACTCCAGCTCTCATTTGCTTATGTGAAAGTTGTTGAGGAACAGAGAGGAATGAATGTTTTCTGATTCCAAGACATTGAACACTTCAACCCAACCCAATCTCCTTCAGTGGCTTTGCAGATCAGCTTCAGGGCAGATTATGTTCAGCAAAATTCCATTCTCTTTAGCACAACAGGAACACAAATGTAAATAATAATATTAATAATAACAGTAATAACTATTGTTATCTATAATAATAAAGGCATGATATGCTAATTAGACCAGACGGCTGAACAGCAGAACGACCATCTGGACAACCTTCTAGATGACCTTCTGGATGAAGCCGGGGCTGTGAGGGCCGAGCCCCTTGCACGAATTTCGTGCATTGGGTCTCTAGTTCACTAATAATAGATATGTTAAGCACTTCATATATATTTTATTATTTAATCCTCACAATTATTTTATAAGCCAGTTATTGCTGTTATCCCCATTTTTATATATGTGATTGAGGCACAAAGAGGATAAGTAATTTGTTCATGGGTCCATTGTAAATGATAGAGTCAGGATTTGAATCTAGATCTGTCTGGCTGCAATTGCTGAGTGGCACACAGCCTCCCCAAATTGCATTACAAGCTCTGTGAGAGCAAGAAAAAATGCCATATTAAGCCTTGCATATTTAGCATGTAGTACATCACTTAGAAGATAGCAAGTGCTCAATAAATATTTATTAATTAATCAACTAACTAGCATTTATTAAGTGTCGAGTGCAGCTTCCATTGGTGCTAAAGCTTTCAGATACCACCTGCCACATGCCTCTCTCTGGCATCATCTCTGCCATTGGTCACTGCTCCCAGGAGCCATACGGATGCACAGGTCATTGATGTAGGCTTGGAATGGCCAATGGCCCACTCTTCACCCAGCCTGTATGTGAGGCACAGGTACCAAGCTACTCCGGGGGTTACAATGTTTTCTGCCTCCTCCACTTTGTCTACTCCCCAAATTGAATCCCCTCTGGAAGGCAAAGCCATTCTAAAGTCCGGTTACTTTTTCTGGTACTCAGGGCCTCTCTGCACCAGACAGTGAGGTTGGCTCTCCCTTTCTGACTTTCTGGGCATGAAGCCCACATTGCCTGTTCCAATCTGGAAACTTGTGTTCCCTTTAGCTTCTGGCTGGTGAACGCACTAACCACATGCTCAAAACCAGATTTGGTCCCATGATTTTTTGTTTCCATTTGGAAGAGCTTTTATTACATGTGATTGATAAACGAGCAAAACAAATAGTTGCATTATCGTGTTTAAAAGTAGAGGTTTAACAGTTAGGATACTTTTGTCTGTAGCAGTATATCAAAATAGTATTGGCTTAAAGAATAAGGGCATTTATTACCTCATGTTCTGCAACTAGGATGGTTCCAGTGTTGGTTAATTAAGCAGCTCAATGATGTCAGGATCTTGAAACACCTTAACTTCCATTCTCTTGGCTTTCCCTTTATGATCCCACGATGGCTATTTTTGCTCCAAATGTCTTCACATGACACAACTTGATATTTTCCAGAAGGTCCCAGCAGGTTTCCTCTTGAGAATCATTGGCTGGACTAGATTATAGGGCCCAACAAATCAATGACTGGCCATGATCTGCCACCCTTCCCTCTACCCAGTACTTTCGAGCCAAAGGACAACAAACACCCAACTGTTACCAATGAACTCTCCTCTTCAAAAGAAATTGGGTACCAAGCCTACCTAATTTTATTGTCCTTCACTTTATTTTGCTTCACAGGTCTTTTTCACAAATTGAAGGCAAGACCCTCCAAAAATAGATTTTGGCTTCATTGCAGTGGTCTAGAACTGAACCCACCCTATCTCTGAGGGGTGCCTGTATATACAAAAGGGGGAGGGATTGCATGTGGTTTTTCTTCTTCAGAAAATTTCATGCAGTGAACATGTATTATTTTTTTAAAAAACACCGTTTATTTTAAAATAATTTCAAATGATTTTAAATTGATTTCAAATTATTTAAAAATAATTTCAAATTATTTTAAATTAATTTCAAATTATTTTATATATATGAGGTACTCTTATGTATCCTGTACCCCAACTTACCAATATTTAACATTTTGCCACCATTTGTCTCATCAATTTCTCTTCTTTCTAATGATTTGAAAGTCTGCATATATCATTCCCTTTACTCCACAATATTTGAATGTATATATCCTAATAATAAGAAAATTTACTTATAGAACAACAGTATGGTTGAAAATTTTAGGAAATTTAACATTGATACATTAATTAAAAACCCATATCCTAATTTTGTCTATTGTACCAATACTATCCTTTATAGAAATATTTTTCCATATAAGATCTAGTCCAAGATCATGTCTTACTTGATATATTTGTCTTTTTAGTCTCCTTTCAAGTGAACAAGTCCCTCAACCCCTCTTTGTCTTTCATATCACTGACATTTTTTAAGAGTAAGGCATACATTTTACAGAATGTCCTCAATTTGGGCTTATTTACTGTTTCCTTGTGATTAGATTCAGATTATGCATTTGGGCCAGAATATTGCCTAAGTGGCATTGTGTCCTTCTCAGAGTGTCATATCTGGAGGCATGCAAAGTTCATCAGTCCTTCGTTGGGGATGTTAATTTTAATCACCTGAGCAAGGTGTTGTCTAGTTTTCTCAGTGGTATATGATTTTTTTTTATTGACTTCAGAGTGGAAGGGAGAGAGAGAGAGAGAGAGAGAAACATCAATGATGAGAGAGAATCATCGATTGGCTGCCTCCTGCACGCCCCACACTGGGGATAGAGCCCACAACCCAGGCATGTGTCCCTGACTGGAATCAAACCCTGGACCCTTCAGTTCGCAGGCCAATGCTCTATCCACTGAGCCAAACCAGCTAGGGCTATGTTTGTTTTTTTTTAATCATAAAGGAAATGTATTTTAAAAAATACATTTGGACAAAAACAAATTGTAAAAGATCACATTGCAATAACCGGAGAGTGAATGTAATGAAAACTGGTATGTCATGCTCCCTCATTTGTGCATAGAACACTTATTCCACCCCATCAAAGGTACTGAATTTGAAAGATAGAATGAGACTTTAAAGCATCAAGTTGCAGAGCATAAACTAAGGTCTGGAGAGGTAAGGTAACCTGCCCGACGTTAGTATCAGAGCCAGGACGTAGACCAGAGTACCCTGTGCCTGACCTGCCTCCCTTCCTGCTCCACTAGACCTGTGAGCCAAAGCACAACAAATGCTTTCCCTGGCCCAGCTGTCACCAAAGAGCTCTTTTCTTCGAAAGAAGAAATCTGGTGTGCCCTCTCCCCTCCCCCCACCCCCCTTGCCAGTTCGTATTATAATACCCCCAGGTCTTCAGTCCAGATTCCAGATCTGTTCGCATTAAAACACTATCCATGTCCAAACTGGAAATGGGTTTCCTGTTTTATCATGTAAATGAGTTACCTTACTCCCCAGTTATCTCCCCTAAACCCACTTCTCACTGCTCACCTCTCACAGCCTGGAGCCAGTAAAAGAATGAGATAAAGAGGCTATACCAAGCGTATGTTGGGTGCATTCCACAGAGGTGCCTTTGTAAAACTTGTGAGTAGAGGAGCATTGATTTCCCCGCCTTGGATAGACATAGAGTCAACTGTGCTATTTTGAAAATTACCGAAGACAGACAGCCCAAGAACCTATAATTGTAGAGGGGGACGGTCTTCTCTGGCAGCAGTGTCTGTGCGAGGTTGTCAAAGGCAGAACAAGTCCAGCAGTAGATTTAGTGCCAGGAGAGCGGAGGTGTGGACCCAGTGCTATCAATATACGAATATATTTCCTGTACTATTGCCATTTTGCTTCACACTAGCAAGTACTGAACTTCGTGTGTCTCCACTTCTCCCACTGGTGACCACAGGGGCTGCTCTTGCAGGGGCACAGTGAAATGAAACAGATCTGGTGGCTCTCCCACTTTTTGGCTGATATGGGACTGTATGGGCTGAACTATGTGTCACCCCACCACTAAACTCATATATTAAAGTCCTAACCCCTGACCTCAGAATGTGACTGAAACTGGAGATAGGGTCTTTTAAGGAGATAAATTCAAATGAGGTCATTAGGGTTGGACCCTAATCCAGAAGACCCAGTGGAGACAGAGAGAAGGCAGCCAGCAAGCCAAAGAGAGAGACTTCAGAAGGAACCAATCCTGTCGACACATTGATTTTGGAAATCTAGTCTCCGGAGTTGTGAGAAAATACATTTCTGTTGCCCAAGACACCCAGTCTGTGGTACTTTGTTATGGCAGCCTTAGCAAAATAACAGAGAGCTTGGGAAAGTAGGTTAACCCTTCTAGGAAGGATAAACCACATAATCTGTGGGGCCTAGTGCAAAATAAAAATGTGGGGCCCCCTGTGAAAAAAATCATTAAGAATTTCAAGAGGACAGCAGAGGATTAAGCCAAGGGCGGGGCCCCTCGGAACATGGGCCCTGTGGGACTGCGTGCATCTCCTGCTCAGGAAGCCGGCTTTGCTTCCAGCCTTCAGTGCTCTTCTCTGGAAAGTGGTGAGAATAATTGCACTCGCCATTAGGTTTGTTGGGGAGATTAAATCAGATTCTAGGACTAGGCTCTCAGAGAGCATGAAAAGAGGGCCGAGAAAGGTGTTCGATTTTGCACATTAAATGTCCAGCCCAGGTTGAGTACCAGCATCACTAGAAAGAATCGATTTTTTTTCTTTTTCTCAATTTACATTCAATGAGCCATTAGTCAGTGGGCGGGGAGAGTGTGCACGTGGGGATGCGGTGGGTGGGACAGACATATCTCAGAGCTGAGCCGCTCTGCTGGGATGAGCAGTGCAGGTAGTTTGATAACTTGGTGTTTATAGTTTTAGGGTCTGTGCTGCAGGGCGTGCCATTTCTTTCTCCTCCTCTCTCTCCTGGCTCGTTCCTGAGGAAGTCCGCTGAAAGTGGCATTTGGACCCCAGAGCTTCCATGCTGCTGCTTGACTTTCTGACAAAAGTGTTATTATTTCCACACATATGACTCTTTTGTCCTATAAATAAACAAATAAAGCTGTAGCAGGCAACGGAACCCAACCCTGAGGTCTAAAATAGGGCAGGACAAATCAAGCTGATCCTTATAAGAGCACTCCTCACTAGGAGGGAAAGTCAGGGGAGTTTGAGTGGCATTTTGGAAGAGGGTGATTATTTTCTTTGACCTATGTATTAGCTTCTAAAAGAATTTAGAAGCCAGTGGGTTAAAAGGATTAGAATAGGATGCCCAACACGAGTAATCTTTCAAACAATAATATCCTATGGAAAGAATTTTTAGTGCAAGAAAAAGTTCTAAATCTTCTACTCATTTTCAGCAGATTTCAGGTTTTGTTTTTTTTTTTTTTAAAGGGGAGAATGATGATTTCTTTAATTTTTTTAAAATGTATTTTATTGATTTTTTTACAGAGAGGAAGGGAGAGGGATAGAGAGTTAGAAACATCGATGAGAGAGAAACATCCATCAGCTGCCTCCTGCACACACCCTACTGGGGATGTGCCCTCAACCAAGGTACATGCCCTTGACCAGAATCGAACCTGGGACCTTGAGTCTGCAGGCTGACGCTCTATCCACTGAGCCAAACCGGTTAGGGCTCAGGGTTTTTTTTGTAATTTAACCTCTCCTAAGGCAGGATTGCACCTAGGCTCCAGCTCTTTTCCTTCTTCACATGATGATGGAATCACCGATTCACAACGCCCATTGACTTCCCTTTCTTAAAAAAAGATATATTTTTATTGATTTCAGAGAGGAAGGGAGAGGGAGATAGAAACATCAATGATGAGAGAGAATCAATGATCGGCTGCCTCCTGCATGTCCACTACTGGGGATCGAGCCCGCAACCTGGGCATCGAACCCTGACCTCTGATTCATAGGTCGACGCTCAACCACTAAGCCACGCTGGCCAGGCCTCCATTGATTTCCCTTTTGATAGCAAAGCTCAGACCCTGGCAAAGGAGCCCTGCAAGAAAGCAGCACCTGTCCTCATACCCGTGGTTTCTCTCACAAATGTGCTCAGTTAAAGCAAAACGAGGCTGATTGAGGGAAGGTTTTTGTTTTTTACTGAAACAAGAAAATGGTAGTAAGGTATTCCCTGACTTTGTTCTCATTATAATTAGAATAAATATAAACTTTGTTAAGAGCCTAAGTGATCTGACTGCGATGGTGAGAGGTGGTAGGGAGATAAAACGATATTCAAGCTCCCTTTCTTTTGGTCTTTGTTCAGTGCCTCTGTAATCATAGCCTCTTCATTCTAGTTGCTTAGGGAAGAAATGAGGTAGAACAGGGCCATGTAATTAATATAATTATATTTAATTAATAAGTAATGATAATTACATGTTGAAAACTAATACTTTCTAGAATTCCCACAGTGTGTGGCACAATATACTGCCAAGACAGACTGAGGCTGGCCCAAAGAATGATTTAGAGACAAACTCTATCTTGATCACTAGGCCATAGCTTCAGAACTTTCACCTCATTTCAGAATAAAAACACTTCACTGTGTCACATTTATTTTTTCACTTGAAATCCTGATGTAAGTGTTAGGCTCTCTCAAGATGCATTAACGAGTGTTCAGGTTACTTCAGGGGATGGGGATTTAGTGTGGGACCACCTGGGGAATGAAGGAAGTGCAGGAAACCACTGAACCATTGAGCCTCAGGAGAACTGGAACCTGGTTAAGAATTTAACATGAACTCTGCTGGTCTATCATTCCTGTAACTCAGCTTCTCCCTCTGCACAGATTCCAGTGCCAAACTGGGTTCAGTTATGCTTCTTCCCAGCATGTGACCCTGGTCAAGTGACTGAAGCTCTCTTTGGCTTAGTTTCCTAGTCTGTGAAATGGAAACAGACTCACAGGGTTGAATATATTTAAAACCTTTAAAATAGTACCAGACACACAGACATTGGTGTTTCCTATTATCCTTTTCTTTTTTATTACCGTTGTTCTATTTTCCATTAATTCTGCGGCTACTCTCCACTACCTTCATGATGTCTACTGTCTCATGGTTCCAAACACCACCTTTTCTATGTGTGACTCTCAGCATTTAGCTTTTTCTGCTTTCTATTTTACCTAAGTTAGTGACTTTCTCCTTATCTAATTTTCCATAATCCATACTTCCATAGACTCTTTCTTCTGTTTTATTACCTTCAATCTACTTGCTTCTTTGCTTCTTTCTTTTCTACTCTATTTTCTGGTTTTCTATGTGTCTTACATTCACTGTCTTGAAAGAGGACTTGATAGGGCCACTTAGTGACCATTCAGTATGGAGCTCTGCTGAGGAGTTCCATGTTTATTTGCTTCAGGCTATTGGCAAGTTTAGACTTGACTGTACTATACCTTGATTCAGGTGAGAGTCCATGGTCCAATCAGTACTGTTCAAGATAGCAAACGTCTCAGGATGTTAACTGAGAAACCTGTGTGTAGAGAACAATTTTGGACTCTGTCAGAAGGAACCTGTTAGGGATACAGCATCTACGGCAGCGGTTCTCAACCTGTGGGTTGCAACCCCTTTGGGGGTCGAACGACCCTTTCACAGGGGTCGCCTAAGACCATCGGAAAACATATATAATTACATATTGTTTTTGTGATTAATCACTATGCTTTAATTATGTTCAATTTGTAACAATGAAAATACATCCTGCATATCAGACATTTACATTACGATTCATAAGAGTAGCAAAATTACAGTTATGAAGTAGCAACAAAAATAATGTTATGGTTGGGGGTCACCACAACACGAGGAACTGTATTAAAGGGTCGTGGCATTAGGAAGGTTGAGAACCACTGATCTAGGGTTTCATGACTTCACTCTAGTACAGTCTTCCTTTAGCATTGCCACCAGCCCATTCACAGATAGAGAAACTGAAGCTCAACAATGTCAAGTGACCCTAGACCTTTATTTAATTTTCCCAAAGAAAAGGTGCCATTTCTTACGCTTCCTTTTACTCGGGAATGGGTGATGATCTTTTTCAGAAATGGCATCTTGCAATATAAAAGGTAGTTCTGTGGCTACTACATGATATCTACTTCGGAACTCAAGCAATATAGAATCAAATGGAAATTATTTAAGATGAAATAAGAGGAAAGAGGTTTAAAGCATTTAAAAAGACAGACATGCTAAAGGGATGCTTGTAACTTTCTCTTTGCTCCCTTAATACCCTGGGCAGTTTAACAAACCGCAGTACTAATTACCTGGCAATTCAGATGCTACACAGTCAGCATGCTTCAGTGGAAAGGCTTTTCTGGAGATAGGCTGGAGATAGGATCGGGAGGAGCAAGGGAAAGCATCAGAGAACTTGGGTTGTTTTTTTTTTTGTTTGTTTTTGTTTTTTTGCAGGCTTTGGGAGGTAGGAGGCTCTAGCTCGAAGATTTGTTAATCAGCAACTTGTTTCAACTTGCCAGCAAAGTTCCTTTAATGAAAGTATTTATGTAAACCAGTTGTCCCATGCTTATCTTACATCTGTTTATAGCTAACTCTCATTCGTCTTAGTCCTCTTAGAAGTTTCTGGGATTGAAGTCTAACATGCCATTTTTAAATGTAAATTCTAGTTAAATGGAAGAATTCTAGTTAAGGATTAGGAGAGACTGAATAAAGCCACAGTAAATTAATGATTGTCTAGCTGAACAGGTGAGTGGGATAGGAATGAATGAATTAGTTAGAGGCCTGGGCATCATACATGGCACTGGTCCAGAGAAGGGGGTGCCCCACAATGTCACACTGGGAAAATTGTGATTAATAATGAGCCATGATATTTTATTTGAGAAATGAACTTTACTTAATGTTGTGGCAGGTGAAAATCAAGGTGGGAGTCACTGGTTACGGGTAATGCTTTATTGCTGATTGAGCATGTTCCCAGGACCTCTATAGAGGTCTGTCTGTGCACAGTGCGTGTTGATAGGAAGGAATGGCAGTGACTTGTCAACCCTGAAAAGGCCTGACAGCCCGGGGAAGAATGCTATGCAGATCATCCGCCTGGGATGGAAAATAGGAATTGCTGCTATGTATTGAAAAGGCTGACTCTCCTTCTGGTTGGCCTCTTTCAGAGTATAGGAATCAGACACATACTTTTGGTAAATTCAGTTTACCATGTTTGTAAATGGGGTTAATTGCTTGAGAGAACTTAATTTGTTTCCTTTAGTCACTAATTGAACATTAATCAAAGACCATGAAAAAGACATAGTTTCTATTTTTAATTAAAATGGTTTTCCATTTTAAAGAGAATGATAAATTGGGGGAGTTGACTGACTGTAACTAGGTTTTTGGATTTATCCGGCAGGTGCTAGACTAGAGAATAACCAGCACAATCTTGGTTATAAGGAAAGAGTGATTAAAATAAAGCTTTGCTCACAGGGAGCCACTGGGCAGACTTCTAACCTGTCCCCATGGGCAGAAAGGGAATAAGGAGGAGGGTTGGATTCAGATTGATATCAGTGGTGGTAGCCGAGTAGTGACAGTCTCCAGTGAAAGGATATTAAAACGGTGTCTGGGTTATCAGCAATGCCATACTTAGAATCAGATAGAATATGCAGCAACTTCCTTTAGAAGGAATTCGAAAGCTAAGCTGGCTTCATTTGAATGTGGGTTCATGATGTATACCATGTGTTCACCCTCCTCTGTCTTCATCAATGTGACTGGAATGAGAACAATCTGAGGCACCCAGATCCTTTTATCAGAAAGGGACAGGGCCAGAGTGGGCCTAATGTGGGTCTGCCTCGGGCTGGCCTGTAGTGTGTGGGTTCTTGACTTCGTGCAGGAAAGATTTCACAACAGGAGTCCAGGTGACTCTGAGAGGATGTTTATTAAAGCTGGGGACAGTGAAACAAGGAAGGGCCTAGGATAGAAGAAGCAACAGGAGATACCTAGGTGCTGCTCTGCCTGGCTCTCTAGAAATGCCACAGGAAAGAAGTGAGCCAAGGTGTGCTGCTGTCAACTCTGTGGAAATTCAGAGAAAAGGGGACCTTGGAAACAGGTTCAAGGGTTAGCTTGGGACTAGCTGCCACTGCCCGTTGCTCCCCTGGTTGTAAGTCTCATGGGGTCCTTACAGTTTAGGAGATGCAACCTTAGTGGGGAGAAGGGAGGGGAGGGAAAGGCATGGGTGTATTCCCAGGAGGAAGAGTGTGCCCTGGGTCCTTCGAGGGTTTTAAAGGCTGGGAGTAAAGGGGAGGTCTCAGGGAAGCATCTCAATAGAGCATTTATCAGCTTTTCCAGATGTATCTTTCAGGGTCTGGTCTCCACTGATTAGTCAGCAACAGGGCAGGGGGTCATTAGTCACCATAGCTGGTCCTGGTGTCAACCACATGGTTTTGCTGCTCTTCTGGGCCTGAAGCTGAAACACAACTGAGGCCTAGATATTATCTCTAGGGAGGAAAAGTCACAAGGGGTCTAAACAGCATGACCAGTGATCTGAAAGGTCTGAACCACATGACCAGCGACATGCCAGGGGAAGGAAGGCCACCCAGGGGTGAAGTCTGGCACCAGTTTTGCCTATTGCTAGGTACTCGGGGCTTTCTGCCCTGGTGACCTTCTGTATCTGATTATAAATTGCTCACCAGTTTGTTCAGCTATCTGTCTCAGTTTTCCCATTCCCCTTGTCAAGGAATTTTCCGAGCTTCTTACTAGCCCACCTCACTTTAAGACCACTCTGGTCAAGTTCCTCATGAATTTCTAAACAGAAGATTAGAAGTTTTAAGCAAAGGATGGCATTCATTCATTCAGTAATTTTTTTTAAATCCTCATCTGAGAATGTGTTTTTATTGGTTTTAGAAAGAAAGGAAGGGGGAAGAGAGGGAGAGAAACATTGATGTTGGAGAGGAACTTTAATTGTCTGTCTCCCACATTTGCCCAATTTGTCACCCAAGCCACAGTCTTTTTGGTGTGTGGGATGACACTCTGACCAACTGAGTCATTCAACCAGGGCTCATTCAGTAAATTTTTGTTGACTTTTCATGGGACAACACAGTTCTAAACCCCATAAAGGACATAAAGATAAAAAAAAAAAATTGGCATCCTGCCCTCAAGGACTGTAAGAAACTTACAGTTAGTGCAGGACATATGCCATATGTAAAAATAATACTATAATTGTTTTATGTCATTAGAAAAATAAAAATATGTGTACTGATGATTTACGCTGTGTCAGGCAACACGCTCAGTCATCATGCATATGACATCTCATCAGATCCTTGCAACAATCCTGTGAGATGGATTTTAGAAGAAATGGGCAAAAATGGGGATGTGGGTGCAGAGTGACTCAGTTTGCACAGTCCAAATGTATGAAGCACAGTGATAAGTTCAGAGAGGTAGAGGGGAGACATTCAAGCGCTTTGATAGGCATCTAGAGTAATCAGGACTATGCTATAGAGACCTGCAGCTGGAAGCCTGTAAAGACCAGACAGGCAGATGACATGACCCTGATGAGTTGGGTGAGCTTTTCCTGTATCTGCATCTAAACAAACTAAGTAAGGAAAGCATCCTCATGCATGCACAGGTTTGGGGCCGGAGGTAATAAAAAGAGTCAATCTTCAATCTGTGATTCTAGTGGGCAGCACTGAAAGTGACTAGATTGTGGGCAATCAATGCTTTAGATGCATACAAAGAAAAATGGCTTGCAGTCAGAGACCTTGGTTTCAATCCCCGTTCTGGGTGTTCCGGAGCAAGTCACTCATGTAACACTAGAGGCCCGATGCATGAAATTCGTGCAAGAGTAGGCCTTCCTTCCCCCGGCTGCCGGCACCAGCTTCCTTCTGGCACCTGGGGGACCAGGGCTTCCCTCTCAGCCCCGGCTTCATCCAGAAGGTCGTCCTGAAGGATGTCCGGTCTAATTAGCATATTACACTTTTATTATTATAGATTGCTGAGCCTTTGATTCTTATGTCATAATAGGGCTAATAACATTCACCTTATAGGATGGTTGTGAGGATTAAACGAGACACAGACAGAGATCTTTGGGGGAGTAGTCAGAAAAGCAGGACCTGGCCCCCTAGGAGAAAGATCTTTAGCAGTGGGCTGCTCTTCTAGCTCAAGTGCTCATTGTTGCCAGATAAATTCAAGTGGGTGCTAGAGGGCTACTTGTCAGGAATGCTATGGAAAGGATTCTTGCCTCCAATAGGTAGTTGCATCAGATGACCTATAGGATCCATTCTACGTTCTACTTTTGTTATTTTCTGCATGTTTACTCTTGCTTTCAAAGTGTCCTCCTCCACACTGCACCCTATAGTGACAGTGTCTGGCAAAATTCATAGGTACTGCCCTGACCAGTTTGGCTCAGTGGATAGAGCGTCGGCCTGCGGAATGAAGGGTCCCGGGTTCGGTTTCAGTCAAGGGCATGTACCTTGTTGCGAGGACAGCCCCAGTGGGGGGTGTGCAGGAGGCAGCTGGTCGATGTTTCTCTCTCATCGATGTTTCTAACTCTCTATCCCTCTCCCTTCCTCTCTGTAAAAAATCAATAAAATATATTAAAAAAATTCATAGGTACTAAAGATAAGGCTGATCATCGGAATAATTATGCAGAAAATAGATATCTGATCTTCAGAGCTGATTTGTGTTGAAACCACAGAAGTCAAAAACAGTCTTTTCTATTAAGTCAGCTAAGATTCAGAGGAGTGGGTAAACTCGGGGTCGCTGCTTCCTGGACATCCTAGTTCACTTCTGCTGAGATGTCTTTATTCTTTGGGGCTTCCCTAAGATACACAGAGGCCAGTGGTTTCAGTATATTTCTTTAAGTGTGCAGCCGTGGGCAAACTACGGCCCGTGGGCCGGATCCGGCCCGTTTGAAATGAATAAAACTAAAAAAAAAAAAAGACCGTACCCTTTTATGTAATGATGTTTACTTTGAATTTATATTAGTTCACACAAACACTCCATCCATGCTTTTGTTCCGGCCCTCCGGTCCAGTTTAAGAACCCATTGTGGCCCTCGAGTCAAAAAGTTTGCCCACCCCTGTGTTAGAGTCTCTTTTAAAAATGAAGCATTATGGTGAAGCCTAAATGTAGAACAGAGAACAGCTGTAACTCTGATTAAGGGGGAGGGGAGAGGCTGGGGAGAAGGAGCCTGAAATCTGGCCCATCGATTCCTTTCTCACCCACTCTGGAACCCCTGGCTTGAACACTACTGCTTCAGCCGGGGCCAGTTTTCAGCTTTCCTCTTGAGTCTTTTGTTTTCCGGACTCTGATGGCAGCTGTTATCACTCCAGCTGTGGAGGGGATGGGAGGCAACTTCCTGTTATTCTATCCTGCCATCCCTATGGGGGTGGGACATTCCCTCCCTCATCTCCTGCTGCTGGTTGTAGAATGTGAGCCTGAGTGTAGCCATCCTATGACTGGGGCTGGAAGAATGACTGGTAGCCACTCAGCCACTGTTAGAAGGCATTTGGGAGGGCAAGGCAGGCAACAGGCACGACAGACAAGTGTGTCCCTGACTGTGGGAGCGAAGGATGAGTGGCTAAGAGGCAGGTTAAGTGTTTGGTGCATAAAATATCTGACAGGGTGAAGGACTGTTGCATGAATGGTGGCAGAGTGGGAAAAGGGAAGGACTCTGGCCAAAGGGGGGTTGTGGGGGGGGGGCGGGAGGGAGATGAGCGTTTTTTGGCTTCAAGATTATTTGGGGGTATTTGGGGGTTTGGTTTATTTAAGGAATGCAGGGGGGTTATAGGTGATAAATGATTGATTTTTTGGTCCTGTATTTTCATTGAGTTTTTCCCTTGAATTGGGTGGAAAGAATACAAAGAGATATTAAGCATGGATCTTGCTCTTCAGAGTTTGGGAAGATAGAAAATGTATATAGGTAGACATATATTACCATATGTTTACACATCTGTACAATCGCAATAAAGCTTACAATAACCTTGGATGCATCATCAGCCCCATTTCATAGAAGAGGTAACTGATGGATGTTTTAGTGACTTTGCCAAGTTACACAGCAAGTAAGTAGCAGAACTGGGCAATGGACTCCAAGCCCTTTTTCTGTCCACATAGCACACAGCAAGGACAGGACTTTGATTAATTAAGCTTTGACTGTGCCCCGGCCCAGGACTTAAAATGCAGAAGAGGGTCAGAAGGTACCAACTTCCGGTTATAAAATAGTCATGGGGATGTAATGTATAGCATGGTGACTATAGTTAATAATACTGTATTACATATTTGAAAGTTGCTAAGAGAATAGGTCTTAAAAGTTCTTTTTTAAAAAAAACAACACACAAAACGACAACCTTCCCCTGTTTCCCCCCCCCCCCCCCCCCCCCCCCCCCCCCCGTGGGGTTTCCAGTTAGGCCAGAAGAAGAGAATCAAGCCGAGATCTGTGAGGAGACCAGTTAGTCTGTAGCAGTGTTTCCCAGGACTGAAGTGGGAGATAAGGTGGGAGAGGTAAATAGACCAGGTTAGGGAGAGTGTTAAATGGCTAGCCAAGAATTGCCGAGAAAGGGGGCCAGAATTTAGAGGGGAAGATCTTGATGGCAAAACCAAACAGTGTTTTAGAAAACTCATCTGGTAGGGGTGCACAGAGCTGGGGGGAAATGGAGTCAGAAGTGTAAGGTAGGAGCTTGGAATGGTGTAGGTCTAACAATGGCAATAACATAAAGTAGGTCTGTGAGAGCACTGGCCCTGGTCTGTGGACTTTTATTTACTTATTTTTTAGCATTATAGTGTTCGAATGAGTGTAGATTGTGGGCAGTCATTGCTTTCAAGTAAAGAGAAAAAATGGCTTTGGAGTCTAATGGATCTTGGTTTCAACCCCAGTTCTGAGTGTTCTGGAGAAATTTACTTAGGTAACCTGGCGAAGCCTTTGATTCTTAGGTTAAAATGAGGCTAATGGCGGCAGGAGATGGGGACATCTATAATAGTATCAACAATAAAAATAAAGTTATTAAAAAAAAACACTGTTAGATTAAAAAAAATGGGGCCAATGACGCCACTTTACAGGATGGTGGTGAGGATTAAATGAGGCACAGTGTTGGACTCTGCATCCCTCTACAAATCTGGCAGGATGGTGAAATGTACAACATTGTCATCCATCAAAGAAAATCTAATCCAACAGAAAGTCAATAATTAATTCATTGTCCTTCCAGAAGATGATGGATAATAAGCTACCTATATATCTCATATTATTAGAGCCACTTCTCACCCTGCAGTTCTGCCCGGGAGCAGAGAGACACATCGAAAGAACCATCTCCTGAGAATCTTTCTGTTCTGTTAGCCAAGGGGATTATACAGCGTGATATCCGTCGAGGGTAAATGTTAGTTAATTCTTAATTGATAGCTCAGCCTCTGCAATTGGTTCCATTCAACAGTAATTATTCTCCTGTGGCTTGTTCAGCTCAGTTGTGAGTTCCCCTCCTTTTCAGTTGTGCATGGAAACAGCAGCGTTAAGGCTGGGAAACAGGTAAATAATAATTTTTCTTATTTCGCTTTTATTTGCCTGGAAGCTCGCGTGGTGTGATTGATTTTCATCGCTAACAGCAAAAGCAGTCACATGGTCGGATAACGCTGCAAGTTAACAATTCACAGCTGGTCGCCTTTCCTAGCATTGGCTTCCAAATTTTCCCCAAGTGCCTTTGAAGTTCTAAATCTCCCGTCTAGGGGAACACCCAGCGGTCCCCAGGTAACAGGGGAGCAGAGGGAGCTGGCGTGTTCCTTTATTTGCATGCTTTTTACAGCTGGCCATTTTCTGCTCCGCGCACCGCCGGACTCGGACTTGCCCGTGACACAGAGGCAATGGTTTTTCCTTAAAAAGGGGGTTGGGGTGGGTTAGTTTCATTTCTGATCTGGGATGCAGTGAATACGCCAAAGAAAAGTTTAAAACCCCGACCCGAGAGGTGCTTCCCCATACATCTCCTTCCCTGAGAGATAGCAGGAAAGGCAGCATTTTTTTTTCCATCAACACCCACTTCCAGCCCTAGTCTGGCTCTGCGAGGAATGTATAAAATTAGTTGGCTCCTCTGAGTGACTGTCCCCCGGCCCAATCAGCGGGAGCCGAGGCGCTGCCGCCCCCGCCCCCCTGCGAACGCTCTTTGGCTAATCCCCGCCGGGAGGGAGGAGAGAGGCGGCGGAGGGAGGGGGAGGTACCTGGGCCCGGGAGTGATGTCAGCTCCCAGCTCGGTGTCTGCCCGGATTCCTGACATGGTGTAGGGCCCGGAGGGTGGGGACGGCGGGAGCGGGACGGGACCGGACTCGGGTTTGCTGGCCCGTGGCGGGGCCAGAGTGCTGGGGCTTTGAACTCCGGGGGAAGGTGATCCAGAACTTTTGGAACTAGTGCCGGCGGCGCCCACCCCCAGGTAAGGGCGCTGGACGCCTCTCGGAGACCCGAGAGCAGCGGCGCCGTTGTGTGGCTGCCGCTGGGTGTAGCAGCTGCGCCTCCTCCTCCCGGGTCGATTTCCTTTCCTGAACTCCTGTTTCCCAATGGGGTCGGGCACTTTTGGGGGGTGGTGGTGTAAGGTTTACTCCTCGGGCTCCCGATGAGCTTATGTGTGAAAATACCTCCAGGGCTGGACGTGTAAGGGCTTGTCTGTATCCTTAGACCACCCCCTTCCCCATATACCCTGGTCTCCCAATAATACTTGGGAGTATGAGGGTTGGGATGATTGGGGGTGGGGGTGGGGGGGCAGTATTTTAAAATGTCACAAAAAGTTTATGAAATATTGACTAAAAAATGGGGCTTTTTGCGAGAGAACAAAAGTGTTGTATCTTTTTAGATCCCGTGTGGCCTATTACATAGTGGGATTTAACTGAAAGAATGTAATGGTTATTCTTATGTATTGTTATATAGCAGCATATGAAATCTTTTTATATAGTCCAGTCAGGATGTGAGAAATTCACTTGGGGTGAATTCATTATGAGCTTGTGGGAAAACGAGTCTCTTGGGACCACACTTGTAAAAACTCCAGCTCTTTGCACTCTTACATTTTAACCGAGAATCCGTATCATTGCCCACCCTGTGATCTGGCGGCGTTAGGAGGGCTGCTGAAGATCTTCAGAACTGTGTTCCGTGGCTGAGAAAAGGATGAGGGCTGGCAGTTGTGTTTTCAGGGATCATTTTTAGAAAAGGGAGTTTTAACAGGGAAATGTGGCAGAAGGCGTGGCACACAGACTCTTAATTATAGGAACATGTATTTTTCAACATGTGGGACCGAAACAAATCCTTCCTTTCACTAAGAAGTGCAGAGAGCAATAGAACGAGGGTTTGATTTAGTGTCCAAGTTTGGTAATTAGGGAAAGCAGTTGCCTACCGGGAGGGGAGGAAAAGATAGTTTGAGAACTGGAAGTATAGAATTCTAATATTTTATTTCCTGTTTCAAACCTC